TTGAAAACATCTCTTAACGTACATACTTCTCTATGGTTTCTTTTGGTGGCGAGTATATATGGATTTAACAGAATGTGTTTTTTGTGATAGTCACACAGGAAGTCACATTACTGATCACACAGGGCGAGATACATGTTGACATCAAACTAACTGATTATATCTTTCCTCCAAGTTAGCGACAGACAAAACATGTTTTGCTAGACCTCACAGATTGGGTCGTAACCCCAATATAGATGTGTATACTTGAGAATATACCCGTTACGAGGGCCTGTTATACCGTATGTTGTAATGACTATACAGTCTTGTTTACCTTTACTAAGTGCTATTTAACCCGTGAAGATCCGCGAAGTCTTCAGCAACCCATGCTTGCCGTATGAGGTAACTTCTGCTTGTCGTAAGAGGCGACTAACGGGATCGGGTTGTCAGGCTCGCTGACTTGGTTGATGCATGTCATCGTATCCTAATTGCGTGGATCAGTGATCATGATGTCAATCACTGATTTGCCTGGTCCAGACTCGATTATTTACAGACCGCTGTCATATAGCTGGACTATTGGTGAGTGCGGCGTTAAGAAACAAGCAAACTAACAAAGTGTTATTTACAATGTTGTTTATTGAATTATTATGTTAAGACAATATATCTTGAAATCAGACTTTTTTTATTTCATTGTAGCTGTATACGTTGCGAGTCATAAAGGTTCGTTCCACAAAGCGAACTTTGCGTTACGATTGTCGTAAATCTCATACTTTAACGTAATTACGGTAGTCATAGTTCTAAAGTAGGATTGTGGAACGTGTACCTGTAGCAGTATGTGCCCATTAAGTATTCTGTCGGTAGCGTCCCGTCAAATCGTGGAAGAGCGTCTTGGAGGAGACGTTAAAAGATGGCACTTGTTGTTACCCTGCCTGGCACTCGGCATTAACAGGATAAAACAAGGACTGGTTGGCTCAGAGTCAGTATGCTACATGAATGAGTAGGGTGTACATGTTAAACTATGGCAGGTATCTCAATGGGCTATAACCAACATACGTCCGGACTAGTACAAGCAGCCACATTCACACACGTCCTTGTTTAAACCCGATCTAACCTCACCTCACCTCACCTCACCTCACCCAAGTGAAATCACCCGAATAACAAACGTCCCGATTAAGGAATCATCGACATTGCTCACGTCACGTTGTATTCATGCGAGAGTTCATAGTAGTTATCATCCGGAATGTAGGGTTTTCGGATTAACGGGGCCTGGAATCGCGAGATTTTACGATATTTGGAATTTACAGGAAACATATTTATTTCTTGAATTAAGAATACATATATGTTACACAAAATTCCCCTCAGTTGGCACGCGTTTAAAAATACATCGCTCAACCAACATATGTTATTTTCATTTTGATGTCAATTCAATGCTATTTCAATCAGCAATTAGTGCGTATGTATTCCTCTCAGCTGTACATCTGGTGAGTGTCATAGCGCTGGTGCAGTTCCGATATCACGAACAGCATACAGCAGCACAGATACATCCAGTGTGTTCTCGCTGCCCTTCAGATTACACCAGCGGTGTAACGGAGGTTGTGTTTGTTCGGGCCGGGTGCCAATTAAGATTAGACCCAGATATTTGCGTCATGGGTGTTAATTCGAAAAACACTATCGGAATAGTTCCATTGCTGACGCGAGTTACCCGCTCTAAACTGCATTTCTTTAACTCTGCTTATCAATAAGGTCGAGAAGTGAAAACAGTCGGGAGATATCTCTCTTGTAAGAATCGATAGATAAGAAGGTATTTGACAGCGCTTTTCATGGCATGTCAAATGGTCCTTCCTCGTTGTTTAATTACCCAGAAGGGTTCGCTGATTTCGTTAAAGAAATTTATGTGGTATGATATCTAAATTGAATTATTACCGTAAGAATATTCATCACGGCTTAGCCTGTGTTTGAACTATGTCAATAAAGCTGATTTATCACCTTTAGCGTTATAAGAAACGTAGTATAAAAAATAGGCCTGACCTATTTCTGCAACTTACGCAATTTATCATCTTAGGATTTCTAATCATGAAATATATTGAATGCAGAGTAATAAATTCGCTTTCGCTTAAGGCTAGTGACTTCTAAGACCTGTTGCTGAAAGTTTGTAAACATGTGCTTGGTGCTTTGAATCTGTGTATACCTGTGGGTTGGAGTATTAACATGCTCGTAAAACTTATATCGGCTTGTACACAACATATGTGTAGGGAGTGGGGTAGTGTAGGGGTTAGTGCGCTCGCTCGAATCGCTCGAGACCAGGTTCGATTCCCAACACAGGTGAATGTGTGAAACCTTTAATGCTGCAGACTAATTCAGAAAATCACAGATCCATTCATTGATTCACACTAACACACGTCTCATCACGCCTTTGAACATGCCCGCTCATTCACTCACACATCCACTCATTCACTCACACATCCACTCATTCACGCTCTCACCCGTCGAACAGTTCCCCAGTCTCTCATTCATACATTCACATAACATCTCATTCACATACTCACATATTCTCTCATTTACACACTCACATATTCTCTCATTCACACACTCACATATTCTCTCATTCACACACTCACATATTCTCTCATTCACACACTCACATATTCTCTCATTCACTCACTCACATATTCTCTCATTCACACACTCACATTCTCTCATTCACACTCACATATTCTCATTCACATACTCACATATTCTCTCATTCACACACTCACATATTCTCTCATTCACATACTCACATATTCTCTCATTCACACACTCACATATTCTCTCCACGCTCACATATTCTCTCATTCACACACTCACATATTCTCTCCTTCACGCTCACATATTCTCTCATTCACACACTCACATATTCTCTCCACGCTCACATATTCTCTCATTCACACACTCACATATTCTCTCCTTCACGCTCACATATTCTCTCATTCACACACTCACATATTTTCTCATTCACCCACTCACATATTATCTCATTCACACACTCACATATTCTCTCATTCACACACTCACATATTCTCTCATTCACACTCACATATTCTCATTCACATACTCACATATTCTCTCATTCACATACTCACATATTCTCTCATTCACATACTCACATATTCTCTCATTCACATACTCACATATTCTCTCATTCACATATTCTCACATTCACACGCTCACATATTTTCTCATTCACACACTCACATATTCTCTCATTCACACACTCACATATTCTCTCATTCACCCACTCACATATTCTCTCATTCACACACTCACATATTCTCTCATTCACATACTCACATATTCTCTCATTCACACACTCACATATTCTCTCATTCACACACTCACATATTCTCTCATTCACACACTCACATATTCTCTCATTCACACACTCACATATTCTCTCATTCATACACTCACATATTCTCTCACTCACACACTCACATATTCTCTCATTCATACACTCACATATTCTCTCATTCACACACTCGCTCTCACTCCTACAACCGCATGCAATAATATACACTCACTCACTCACTCTCCCACCCACCCACTTCATTCACTAAAGTCACTCACTTTCTCACACAGCCACTCACTCACTCCCACACGTACTCACTCACTCACCTACTCGCTCACTCACTCTTTGCCGCAACCTAGTGTCCCTGAATGGTTCTATGTGAAGTCTGTTTGACTACAAACCATCACGGCACTGAAGTGATAATACTACATATGTTTACCTTTATAATGCCTCAAAGTGAAATTAACCAATGAGAGCAGAACTACTAACCCCATATGAGCCCGTATACTGTCAGTCAGAATCTAAGATGGTTGTAGCCATTTTGGATTTTCCAACACCCACACAAGCGATATTTCACATGAAATTCTGGTACAGAAAAATTCATTCGACACTGATTTGGGTTGTGTTTTTGTCATTAATTGTGACAAAACGGAGGTCACTGATTTACATATAGCAACGTCAAAGAACATAAACTTGGATTACGTCATACAAAAGAAACGTAACGCCAATGACGTCAAGTAGCAATCGAATAGATAGCAGCCCGTCGTAAGGGAAATTCGGGCTGCTATCACGTTGCAGTGACCCGCAGATTTCTGATAACATGGGGGCATTTTTATGATAAATCTATCCATTTTAGGTATATTACTTGTTTAACTGTCACATTTAACGCATTATGTATTCCATTGTAAACGTTTGTGTTTACATTAAGCTTGTTATCGGAAACATATGTACTGGTCCTGTCATTTATACCGGTTGTAAGTGTCACGATTTCATTCACGCATGACATGTGCGACAAAGATACTAGATAGTGTAAACTTTTCGGCATGATAAATACGTTATGGTGTCTTTGGTTGCCGTATACAGTGTCATATTAGATCTAGAATAGCAGAAAAATACTGGGCTTGGCTGTCGGCAAACCATGAAGATTTATCAATCGTTCATCATGACGACCGCATCCGTGGTCTAGTGGTAGAGCATCCGCCCGGAGAGCGGAAAGTCCGGGGTTCGATCCCCGACCGCGTCATACCAAAAGACGTTAAAAAATGGTAGTTGTTGTTACCCTGTCTGGCGCTCGGCATTAAGGGGCTAAAACAAGGACTGGTCGGCTCAGAGTCAGTATACTGTGTCTGAGTGGGGTATTCATGTTAAACTGCGGCATGGTATCTCAGTGAGCTAGCACTATAAATCGGCCACACAAACACACACACATACATGCACGTCGCTATATAAGTGCAATAATTTTGGACGCGACGTTAAACCCCATTTCACCTCACCTCACCGTTCATCATGACAAATAGTTTTTTAAACGCTGTACGAAGTACCGCATTTAATTCATTGAGTCCAACGAAAGTTGTGCGCTTACTTGGCGATTCACGTCGCCATTGTCCGGATCGATATTGAAAGTATCAATCATTTTGTGGAAAGAAGCGCTGACCCTGCCGAGCTAGCAGAGGGATGCGCGAGCGCTGTTGACGGGGCGAGCGTCACTGATCGATGATGGTATTGCAGCAGACGACACCTTCTGCAGACGACAGAAACTAACTGACAATGTGAAAAAAGGAAATATTTAAGAGGATTAAGTAGCAGACGACATTTATACATTTTGGGGATCTGTATGAAGCTATGCCCTGATGAAATGATCGTGGCGGTGTAGGCTATACTGGAGACATTGTTATCATACTGGACCTGGAGTCTAACAAGGTTAGTGGTAGTCACAGTCACTCGTAGCGCATCCTCCATGTAATCATGTCATTCATATGTAATATGGCATGGCCGTCATTTTGTTGATGTGATCACGGAAGGAATCTCAAGCAGCTGGGTGAAATGCAGTGCCGATCTTCATGTAGTTAGCTGTAGATCACTGTGACTTGGTTTTGTAAATAGCTTCAGGAAAATTATACCTCTAGTTCCGGTGAACGGGTTTTATGAAGCGATATCTCATTCTAACTGGTATTTGGGAATGCGTAGACGGACAGCTGGATGAACAGTTGTTACCGTGGTGCTCTCGGTGCTGGGTGTAACTAACTCGGTCTGTTGTGATACTCTCCGTGTTGGTTGTAACTCACTCGGTCTGTTGCGATGCTAACTAGGTTAGTTGTGATGCTCAACTAACTAGGTCTGTTTCGATGCTCTTGGTGTTGATTGTAACCAGCTAGGTCTGTTGTGGTGCTAACTAGGTTAGTTGTGATGCTCAACTAACTAGGTCTGTTTCGATGCTGTTAGTGTTGATTGTAACTAACTAGGTCTGTTTCGATGCTCTTGGTGTTGATTGTAACTAACTAGGTTAATTGTGATGCTAACCAGGTTTACTGTAATGCTAACTAACCAGGTTCACTGTAATGCCCACTAACCAGGTTTACTGTAATGCTGACTAACAAGGTTTACTGTAATGCTGACTAACCAGGTTTACTGTAATGCTAACTCACCAGGTTTACTGTAATGCTAACTCACCAGGTTTACTGTAATGCTAACTAACCAGGTTTACTGTAATGCTAACTCACCAGGTTTACTGTAATGCTAACTCACCAGGTTTACTGTAATGCTAACTAACCAGGTTTACTGTAATGCTAACTCACCAGGTTTACTGTCATGCTAACTCACCAGGTTTACTGTAATGCTAACTAACCAGGGTTACTGTAATGCTAACTAACCAGGTTTACTGTAATGCTGACTAACCAGGTTTACTGTAATGCTCACCAGGTTTACTGTAATGCTAACTCACCAGGTTTACTGTAATGCTTTCTAACCAGGTTTACTGTAATGTTAACCAGGTTTACTGTCATGCTAACTCACCAGGTTTACTGTAATGCTCACTAACTAGGTTTACTGAAATGCTAACTCACCAGGTTTACTGTAATGCTCACCAGGTTTACTGTAATGCTAACTCACCAGGTTTACTGTAATGCTAACTCACCAGGTTTACTGTAATGATAACCAGGTTTACTGTAATGCTAACTAACCAGGGTTGCTCTAATGCTAACTAACCAGGTTTACTGTAATGCTAACTCACCAGGTTTACTGTAATGCTAACTCACCAGGTTTACTGTCATGCTCTCTAACCAGGTTTACTGTAATGCTCTCTAACCAGGTTTACTGTCATGCTCTCTAACCAGGTTTACTGTAATGCTAACTAACCAGGTTTACTGTCATGCTAACTCACCAGGTTTACTGTAATGCTCACTAACTAGGTTTACTGTAATGCTAACTAACCAGGTTTACTGTAATGCTAACTCACCAGGTTTACTGTAATGCTCACTAACTAGGTTTACTGTAATGCTAACTAACCAGGTTTACTGTAATGCTAACTCACCAGGTTTACTGTAATGCTAACTAACCAGGTTTACTGTAATGCTCTCTAACCAGGTTTACTGTAATGCTCTCTAACCAGGTTTACTGTAATGCTAACTAACCAGGTTTACTGTAATGCTAACTAACCAGGTTTACTGTAATGCTCTCTAACCAGGGTTACTGTCATGCTCTCTAACTAGGTTTACTGTAATGCTAACTAACCAGGTTTACTGTCATGCTCTCTAACCAGGTTTACTGTAATGCTAACTAACCAGGTTTACTGTAATGTTAACCAGGTTTACTGTAATGCTAACTAACCAGGTTTACTGTAATGCTAACTCACCAGGTTTACTGTCATGCTCTCTAACCAGGTTTACTGTAATGCTAACTCACCAGGTTTACTGTTATGTTAACTAACCAGGTTTACTGTAATTCTAACTAACCAGGTTTTCTGTTATGTTAACTAACTAGGTTTACTGTTTATTTTTGTAAGTGTTATAGAACTAGGTTTACTGTAATACTTAATGACTATTTGTACTGTAACTCTTGAGATGATTAGTCTCAGCGTATCATGGGTTATGTTAATGTTCCTAGAGGCATATTTCATCTGACTGTGTTGTTGATTGTGGGGCAGTAAAGGTAACAGCATGAGGACTGTGAGTCCTGGCTGATACGAGCATACCATCGTACCCCGACAGTGTGAGTCGTTTCTTGCGTTGGTTTACCTTGCCTAGACTGGAATAGTTACAGAGCACCATATTGGAACTGAATTATTGCTGACTGCGGCTTTAAACAACATTCACTCTTTCTCTTATTGTATATGGTACGTACGTACGTCAGTGTACGCGTTAAAACACATGCTGTCAAGCGAATTAAGATGGACACTTGAGACATTTATGTGTTAGATAGTTCTTCAGACGCATACTACCTGAATACACGTTGTCCATACATGTAAATAACCCGTTAGAGTGGACGCCAACAGTCCGGCAACCTCTACTTCAAGGCGATTGCAGGCTATGTATGTACATATACAAAGGGACGTTACTCCGTGCAATACTCCGGAAACCTGTTAATCTGGACGAGTTATCCGCGAACGGTCTCGAATGAAGAGGTTCTTCTGCATACACAGGAAAGACTTTTGCATTTTACGACCTATTGTAAGTCATGTCAATGTCCATGATGGTCTGACTGAAATTCAAATACAACTATGCATTGAACGTGTCTCATTGGTGAGTTAGTTTAACGCGGCTTTGAACAGTATTTCATTAATATCACGGCCTGTCAGTTTGATGTGTGTTCCTAGGTGATACAGGTCTTCAGACGTTTGCCGCGGGTATGGTGCTGACAAACTTAGAAAGATGATCAGAGCGAACTGGGATTCGAACCCGCAAACATAGGCTCCTGGCAAGGACTTCGGCGCTGTGGACGACTGGGTCACTCTGCGTTCCCTCCTCCCTTCCTCTCCCCCCATAACACTTGTTCCAATGTATACGTGTAGGCAACGAGTGTAAGTGTGTTTATTGTTCTAGGTAGGGTACGTGGCAAGTTTAATGTATTGCTGTTTAGCAAATGCAAACAGTTGCACTCGGAGATTCAATTGCTACCATAGCAACGGAATGACTTCTGGTAAACCGGTGAGTAAGTCTGCATTGAAATAACGTCCCGTCTGTACATTGATAAGGTAATAAAGATTAAATCGACAGCCTCATGTTTTATGTTGACTATCTCTAGAACGTGAATGGCAGTATATAAACCAATACTAATGATATACAGGTGCGTGCATTGAACACAACACAGCTTTGCAATGACAGTTAAATAGGAAGACATGCAGTTATAATGGAAGTAAATGGTGGATGGTTCAAATGTTTGTCTGACTAAGGGTGCAACCGCCGTGTGATATGCAACGTGACCAATCTTACAGTCGTGTGTAATCCACACCCTAAGGCTATGAGAACTCACAACAGTACTGGGTGTGCGGTACCCCTCCTGCTAAGTGTGTGTCATGGCTGATTCGTGATTACCGTGTCGGTGTAGAGAGTTCCATCAACAGAGCAGGTGGGTAACAGCTCAGTACGAAGGAAAACGAGTTGAGCCGGGAATCACGGTACATTGCTTGATCAGAACACATATCATTTGGTATTACAATGATAATATGGTAGTTGTTTTAACGAGTTAAAAGTTCTGTCAACCCCGGGTAGAACTTGTCGCAAAGCCACTCAAAATCGCTGTAAAAAGTTACCTCCCTTGATCCACCGATCGTCTGAATTTGTCATGCACTGCTAAATAACGTCCCACTTACTGGTGACTATGATCCAACTATACTGTGTATTGAATTCTCAATTCCATACGTTCTATATCCTGTTCCGTTCCACTGTCTGCAGAGTTCGATCTGTGCCTCGCATCTTACACTGTCGAACTGACCCCAGTTGCCGCCATGCATGTTACGGTTCTGACTGACAGATGGTACGGATTGCCAAGTCATTTCACGCGTGCCAGAGTCCTATTTTCATGGGTTCGAATCTCGGGTTGATTCTACGACCTCCTTCACTCTGGGCCTTCCTCTCTCCCTAAGCTGACACGTTGCGAGACAAGACAGTACTCAGTTGTTTGCACTCTCACTTTTACATTGCAAGACCACGACTCGTAAAAACGCATGCAAATCTTGCTGAAACATTATTTTGCTGTTTGTTTTGTTTGTTTGTTTGTTTGTTTGCTTGTTTAACGCCGCAATGGGCACTAATATTCCAGCTATATGACGGCGGCCTGTAAATCATCGAGTCCGGACCAGAAAACCCAGTGATTGATATTGTGAACAAACGATCCACGCCGTCGGGGTACGATGACACGCCATCGACACGTCACCGAGCCTGACCACCCCATCGATTTGGTCGCTTCTTACGATCAGCATGGGTTGCTGGGGACCAATTGTAACCCGAAATAACCACGCGCCAAACATTTGCGCACTTTCATGCGGTGTTAAACGTAACTCACACCCTCATTCTGATACCACTCACTCTTTCCTTTGACTTACCAGAATAACATGTCAATGTGACGCCATCTGACTCTGTGTTGCAGATAACTGAGCATGCTCCTTCCCACCACGTAACGCACAGCCTGAGTGACATCACCAACTATTAGCTAGCACAATGGGAAGTGGCGCGTCCAAAGAGCCAAGTCGGCCGACAACGGTGGCGTCACAAGACGCCTCCGCCTCGTCCAGGCCGTCCACGTCATCCATGGGGGTCCAGGTCAGCACTACCATTACACCCACGTGACATTGCACCTCATTACAAGGTCGTATTGAAATTACAAGCTCACAAAAACCGAAACAGCATCGACAGATTCTATCATTTCAGCCCCCCGTCGTAGCCCACTAGGTGTACATCTGACATTGTCGGATCAGCCTTAGCCACAGGAAGAATTAAAGTTAATTTGAACTTAAAATGAGCAGGTATTTAGTAAGACACTCTCTCGATAGAAAGGCACGGTGTCAGGAATGAAATTCAGAAATATCAGTAGCTTAATGCGCCCTTAATAGAGTGATAATATCTCCAACACGTACACCACTAGAGCCATAATAATAGAAATGTGAACAAACAGAATTCAAATATGAATTTTTCTTGGATATAAGCTACATCCTAGCCTGCCCCAAAAGTATTGAGGAACCTTCAAGTTTCCAAATTTCAGGAGCTGAAAAGGACATCTGTCATGGCTGCTATGAGGGTATTGAGAGTGGCCATAGACATTTGACACGTAGCTATAACATAGGGCATTTTTGCTGTCGAACTATAGCTATATTGAAGCGCTGGCATTGGTACATGACATTATATATGAGCTTTATGTAGGCTGTCGTCATATAGCAGTAATGGACACGCGCATTATTCAATTTTTGTAAAAGTTTGGGAGAAGTTTGTGATCACAGATAAACGCAAAAATAAGTTGAAATCAATGTATCCTTAAAGCAATTTGTTTTTGTGTTATTTTGTTGATTTATACATAGCATTAACCATAAACAACCCCCACCAAGAAATTACTCCGCGTATGACAGGACTCATCTAGCGTTGATTCCTCATTCAAGCACTGTTTCGTTACCTGCGGGAATATATAGCTCCTGGGCTTTTTGATCGTTTAGGTGAAGTGTTCCTGTCTTAAACAGTTCTTTACCTGATAATTTCCTAAACCCATAAACGCGACCTTCCCACGCTCTCTCGTTACAGCGCTGACAACGCCCGCAAAGCGCTGATGACTGTTTACAACAACAGTTACAGCAACCGTCACATTGTTTATTATTGATCCTAAGATACAATTCTGTTTCCATGAATATATCCCCTTGTTTAAGACCATTCGGCTTGGGTGAAATGGTTTAGTTGTAAATTATTAAAACGACGGCCTCTTAACTTAAATAATTGCACAGGGAGCACATTATACATGCCCAGTTTAGTGCACACCTCAGCATTGGATGTCCGAAATCCAGCTCGGTAAGTTGTGTTTCTCAAAGTTTCAAACTTTGATTATAAAAAAAATCTAATGATAGATTTCGGGTAATAAATGGAGTCTCCGATAAGAATTGATGGTGTCACTTATCGCATTATTAATTTGATATCGTACCAGAAGCACAAATGTTTACCCAAGTGTATAAGTCACTCTTAGTGTGTCATGAATCGCAGTTACGCATGAAATTGATAGCTGTTTGATGTGGAGAGATTTGCAATTTACACAGCGTAATCCACAGGTTTCCACATGAGACATGGCAAATACACTGAGGCTTACTTCATAAATGAGGCATTTAGAAGATACAGATCACGTATTCCCCGATAAGCATCTTGGTCACGTACAATCATTACGGACAAAACACTGTTTATTAGAGATTGCATTAAACTTGCATTTGTTTTGAACGCGTTTAAATGTTGTTGTTTTATTTAAACATGGGGTTATTTCTCGAAAAATGATAACGGCTAGGAGACGGATAGTTATGTTAGTAACTAGACCAGATAATTCAAACAAGACAGAATCATTGATATTTGTATCTATTTGTATTTGTATTTATTAACTTGTTCAATTCCGCAGTCTCAAGGATGGCTTGAGAATAAACCTGTAGTGCCACAAAAAAAAGACCACAAAAGATAAATAAATAAATAAATAAATAAATAAATAAATAAATAAATAAATAAATAAATGTTCGACTGCTCCTTTCAAAAGAAAAACAAATTGAAAGTAAGACATGTCTGTTTAGGCAGGGACGGTAGGGTAGCCTAGAGGTTAATGCGTTCGCTTGTCATACTGAAGGCCCAGGTTCGATTCCATTACATTGTGTGACTATTACTAAAAGCGGCGTAAAACCCAACTCACTTATCCATCTTAAAGTAATTGTGCACTTAATACAATGTCGTCACCACGTAGTAGTAATCAGTTTCACCCATCACTTTATTATTCAGTCAAATCACAGGGGAAACGTCTGTACAAGTCCTGTGAGGCGCTGCAATTAGCTGTGCAGAGTTGCGTCCCTTAGGTGTGACACACACATATGATCGTGGGTTCGAATCAAATCAAAGATTATGTTTCTAGGTTTGACATCACCAAACCCGTGCTTGTGGGTTTCACAAAAGTGGTAAACGTCTAAGACCTGCATCACTTCGGGCTTTTCTCCCACATCAAGCTGACATGCCGTGATGTAACCGAAATACTGTTCAAAGCGGCGTTAAACAAAATTCACTCCGGTTAAAACTATCGTATCTCATCCCCCCACACGATAGGTTAATCATTCTGGAGTGAGTGAGTGAAAGTTTTCATCATATCGGCAACCATCATCACTCACTCACTCAATAATCGTTGTCTATTAGGTAAATTACTACTCATGTATTTCCGTCTTCTGTTGTCTTTTCGAATTGTGGAAGTGATATGGTCTCACAAGAAACAGACATAATTATCTTCCGCCACGAAGTGGGGCGGGGGATATAGGAACGGAGTTCGTCCGTCCTTCCGTCCGCTGCTTAAAGGGGACAAATTTTCTCCAAAATTGTTTAAGTCAGAGAAATTTGACATACCGACGTTACTGGTCATGATCTCAAATGAGTTCGAAAATTGGTGTGGTAAATTCATTTTTTTAAAGAGTTATAGCTTTTTAAACGTGGTGCATCGTGTTTACAATGGGGTCCATTTTTCTCAGAAACTACTGAAGTTGCATGACTGAAAGTTTGCTTGTTATCCAAGAGATGCTTGTCAAGACTGAGTTCGAAAATTGGCCCCATAAGTTATTTTTTACAGAGTTACTATGTTTACTTAGTGCATAGTGTGTGCAATGGGGACAGGTCTTCTACTGAAGATAGATTATGTAAGAGCTACTTATCAAGACTGAGTAAATTCTTTTCAAAAGAAGGGGCCTTTTGTGAGTATTAATTTCACATTTAATCATTTTATTTTTCTGATGACATAAAGCGACCCATGTGCCTCTCTCTTCCCAAGGCTTTATGGGGCTATTTATTGTTAAAATAGACTACCATTTGAACAAACAAAATTCTAATGATCCCCATGGTGGGGGATAGTGATACCGTTGTTTCCCTGTTTCCCTCACCATCCTGCTTTAGATCTATCGAGACATGATTGATGTGCCGCCCAAATTACAAATCATGAAACGAATATGGAACAAATTCACTGTAATGACCTCAATAATGAGGTATCGATTTTGATAATGTCACATCACAGACGCGGAACCGTGTTTAAACACGCATCTCACGCACGATAGCTTTTTTATGAATATAAATGAAAATTGTCATCGATTAATTTCGAACAATGCTCACATATTGTCTGAAGAATACGTATGTGAGTATTCTTAAGTAATAGGAGTGTGTGCTGCGTGCCGAAAAATAATGTCAAATTATCTTGACGTCGTACGAATACTTTCCTAAATAAATATCTAGTTTTACTTCAAAATTAAACAGTCCAAAACGCCGACGGTTCCAAATTACATTCCTGGTATCAAATACTCAATAATCACCGGAAATATGAAAACACACTATGTATAGCTTCTAAATCATAGAAGCATTGTGGCATGGTACAATGACATCTCCATCACACGTTGAAGAGGACTTTTGTCACAGTGAACAAATTGCAGTAAATATATGACGTAATCGTTTTGCTTATATTCTTCATTTGTACTTAAGGTCTTTTGTTCGTGGGATTTTTGCATTATCCCCTTGATGATCCAGTTCCAATTTCAAGTGTGGGACTAGAAGTTGTAATAAGACTGATTGTAAAACCAATGTGAGCGTTATCTGCAACCTGATTGGTTGAAAACATCATTAAATGGGATTCAAAGCCGAAATGGATACAACGTTAATTATATATTAAGTTTCATCAATATTTATCCGAACAAGTTCGATTTTGTTGTTTCTTCCAACATTTTGCTACGCCGTCGATCCAAATGAAATCTCCGGGCATCGAATACTCGCAAATCTGAAATGCAATAAACCCAATTTCACCACCTAACTGGGCCTTGTCTTTGTGTAACTACGGTAATGATAGGCAGTTAGCAACCACAGCGGATTTAAATGACTTGCTGCGACTAGTAATCGACCCATGCTTAGTCCCCTAATAACACTGGCGGTTGGTGTTAATTATTGTAATACACGTTTATCAAATAGAAATCGTTTTTCAAAGCGAAATGAGTGAAAGCCACTGTCATAATGACATTGCCAATAAACCTGTTTAAAGCCGTGTCCTGTTTCCCTAGTCAATGCCTGCTTGTGTAACTTGTTAATCTCTGCATGTTATGACTACACGTCAAACTAAGCGACTACACGTTTCTGTCCTTCAACATTATCCGACGTAGACTTAAATAGTGTTGTGAACACCAGAATCAACATGCCCCCAACGTGTCTACACAACAAATAAATATTAATCTGGGCGTTGGAAATTGACTGATGCGTGACACACCTGTGATGCGCGGCATGATGTTGATTACTGCATGTATAATATAACATATCTATTGTTTAATTTTAGTACCGCACTGTATCAAAAAGCAGTCAGATAACAACCTGGCTAAGAATTGTTCTCTGACAATCCGATTGAACAGTTTACAACCATGCACTGTTTTCACCCGGAATCGCAATAGTCCTTACAACATTAAAATACCATTAAGTTCTCTGTCACGATCCACTTAACTCTTATACAGGAGATATGAATGTTGATAGTCTCGCATCAGTCAGCCTGGGTACCGCTCCCCCAGCGTGTAGGAAAATGAATGTCCTTCAAATTCGGTACGCTTGAATGAAGAGTTGCCGATAATGAATGTTGGTAAGAATGAAGGCATTGAAGCGTGTGACAATTGATTTGTGAACGGACAAAGCCTACAAAACTGTGCCCCAAACTAATTCCGTGCGTTCTTGTTTTGACGCGTTTACGATAAGGCACACTAATCAATCGAAATTATCGATTATGGCCATTCTACCAAACAGTTCGGTTTATGGAGTCCTATCGCATAGATTTCAGACGAGGCAACATGATTAGTACGTTATTTTGTTAATTAGCTAATATTCGTTGATCGCATCAGTTGTAATCATTATATTTTCAAAGGTAGTCCTTTGATAGAGAGTCTTTAGACATTAATGTTGTGCGTGGTAATGGCACACGTATGCAACGAAATTGTTAGTCATTCAAGCAGGAAAACTTATCCTATTATTTTCTCTCGTTCGAAGCATGAGGTACGATGGGCGTTCAATACGTTTGGCAACTTCAATATAAAACCAAGTCACAGAATATCTTTTCAACTTTTATTTTTCAATATAATCTTCATTCACCTCAATACACTTATCCATTTGTCCTTCAAGCTTTTAATACCACTTGTATTGAAATCCGCAGATTGGCCCTCTAACCACGCCTCTGTGGCAGCCTTTATGTCCTCGTCACCCTGGAAGCCTCTTCCACGTAGGGCAGATTTCATTTGCCGGAACAGGAATTAGTCTCTGGGGGCTAAGTCTGGGCTGTAGGGTGGGTGATTTAACTGTTCGAACCACATTCACATATGGCGGCCTGTGCAATTCTCGACTTGTGAACCGGAGCATGTAAGGAACTTTATTACAGCGCGTTGTTCATGTTTGAGAGAATCCATGTAAACACAAATGCCCAAGTTGCAAAACTTATTGAACGCCCCTCGTATGTTTCCATCTTTTTCGACAGTAAGTACACAGTTCTAGTTTGTAGCGAAGTTAGAACGTGATGGTACTGTTACCGGTAGTACGCCCATTATTCTTCTGTTACCGGTAGATAGCCCTTGACTCTTCTGTTACCGGTAGTAAGCCCATGATTCCTCTGTTACCGGTAGTAAACCCTTGATTCTTCTGTTACCGGTAGTAAGCCCTTGACTCTATTGTTGCCGGTAGTAAGCCAATGATTCTTCTGTTACCGGTAGTGAGCACATGATTTTAGTGTTATGGCTAGTAAGCACATGTTACCGGTAGTAAACCCTTGATTCTTCTGTTACCGGTAGTAAGCACATGATCCTACTGTTGCCGGCAGTAAGCCCATGATTCTTCTGTTACCGGGCGTAAGCACATGGTTTTAGTGTTATGGTTAGTAAACACATGTTACCGGCAGTAAACCAATGATTCTTCTGTTACCGGTAGTAAGCCCATGATTCTACTGTTACCGGTGGTAAACCCTCGATTCTTCTGTTACCGGTAGTAAGCACATGATCCTACTGTTACCGGTAGTAAGCCCATGATTCTTCTGTTACCGGGTGTAAGCACATGATTTTAGTGTTATGGCTAGTAAGCACATGTTACCGGTAGTGACCACATGGTGTTAATGTTAAGCTCATTTTTCACTGGTGTAGTTTCGTTGAACTGTAGGGTCGATTTATAAATCTTGAAACTAGGCTTCTCGAGATCCTCTTTGGAATATGGCAACTCTCTGACATACAAATATGCACATGTATATCAATGAAGCTGCAGACATATATAATGCTGTATTGTTTTCACAGCCCAGCATGAATGGTCGGACCAACAGCACCATGTCGCGTAGCCAGACTCCACCCTCGGCCCGCCCACCAACAAAGTCAAAGGCCGAGGTCTTCAACGAGAAAGATTACAAACATGTCTTAGATCATGTCAACAAAGTAAGTACATATGCTGTTCCTTCTCACCTGCATGTCCTATATCATTCCACCTAGTCCCTATGGCCAGGCCAGTTCTTGTGCGATATACAATTAAACCTATTAGTCCGGAAACTGCTATCTGGACAATTACTAGTTGGAAGTCGAAAACTGTACAAAGAACATACACCTACAGGGTTGATTCGTTTATCCGGGAATTTGTTTCGACCGTAATAACGAGGTCAACAAATTAAGAGGATGCGGCGATTATTCAACTGTGAACTCATAGCTGGTCCTAGACTTAGTACTGAGCTCAAAATACCAATGCTAAATCTACGGTTAATTCTGGTTTGGAAACTAGCTACTAGGAGTACTATTGAACAAAGAAGGCTGGTATTCGCAATAAGCTGTATCATACGTCCTCCAAGACACTTCCAATCAAGTCCAAGATTGATATCTGATGCAATTCCTTGTTTTGTCTTGTAGCATATGTTCCTGTGTTTGTTCAGGTGAATACTTGACCTGCCTTTGCATGTGTTTGTGACGGATGCCACCGGTGGGGCAGGATATCTGACTGCTTTTTGATACAGTGCGGTACTAAAATTAAACAATAGATATGTTATATTATACATGCAGTAATCAACATCATGCCGCGCATACACCTAACACCATCACTATTGTGATAGTGATTCACAAACACATGCTTATAGTCGGATTCGTACAACGGGCTCTGCTTTAAACAGAGATCTCTTATGATTATGGAAAGGGCTTTATCAGTGTTTATTTACCGGGTATAACTCTTAGGTTAATTGGCAATCGGCTGTCAGTAGTACCCAAAGTGCGTTCTTCAAGTTCATGGCCTTTTCCATGAAACAACTTTAGCGGAAGAACTATTCCAAGTGTATGTTGTAGTATGGGAGTTACAGTTTTCGTACTGTGGAACAACGTTCTTGCCCCCTTGACGTTCACTGTTTGGTCAACTTGACTCTTGAAATACATCAATTCAAGACAAATAGTTCACATTCATCACTAATTACGTTTGTACCATCAGGATAATTCTGTTTATTACTTGCTCGTGAAGAGATCACCCGTTTGATAAACATACAGCTGAATTACACATTGTGTAATACCAAAACGCGTGCCGTTTTCACATTTATTACGGAATTACAGATATCTTCAATTGTTTTAAAGCTATCTTGAATTGAATTGAAGATATCTTGAATGGAATTGAAGATATCTTGAATGGAATTGAAGATATCTTAAATGCAGATAATTGTAGATATCTGCAATACAATGTAAGATATCTTCAATTGTTTTAAAGATATCTTGAAATGAATTGAAGATATCTTGAATGGAATTGAAGATATCTTGAAAAGAATTGCTGATATCTTAAACTCGATTATTGATATCAAAATATGATTTAAAGATATCCAAATGTCATGTTTTGTTATGATGTCATTAATTCAATTCTTGAAACTAAATACAGATATCAATAATTAATTATTGATATCTTCAATTGTTGCCATTATTAAAGATGTTACATTAATAAAGTTACTTAAATTAGATAACTGATATCAATAATTGATATAAAGATATCATCAAAAGTAATAATGATATCTTTAATTGGATGTTTGATATCAGTAACGGTCAGAATTAATGATATCTTGAAGTGAATTAAAGATATCTCTAATTGAATTAAAGATATCTCTAATTGAATTAAAGATATATTTAATTGAATTAAAGATATTTCTGTAATGCAATTGTGGATATGTATAACTTATTTCAAGATATCTTGAATTGAATTTAAGATATCTTGAATTTATTTCTAATATATTTATGTACTGTGGGATGGTAATTGTTTAATGATATCTTAAATACATTTAGAGACATCACAAACTAATTTGTTGATATCACCGTAACATTTTAAGATATCAGTAATTGTATTATGGATATCAGAAATGAATTTAAGATATCTTTAATTATTTTTTGATATCTTAAAAACATTATTGATATCTTTAAATAAAATACCGATATCTTTAAAACAATTGAAGATATCTGTAATTCCGTAATAAATGTGAAAACGGCTTGCCATACAATAACACCAATACTGTTAAATCTGTAACCACCCCATGTTGTTTCCAGGCACCCCAGAGGCTGCTGACCGGTACGTTCCGGGAACTGGTCCAGTACCTGACCGGTCCGGATTGGCCGGAAATAGGCAAGGTCCGAGCCATCTTCCTCTGGTTGACCTCCATAGATGTCTACAACCTCAAGATGGAAGAAGACCCGCCGAAACAGTCACCAATGGAATATTTCTCTAAGATCCAGAAGAACCAGGGCAACCACGCACATCTATTTTCTGGATTGTGTCAGTAAGTACTGTCTTTGTCTGTCTGTACAATTATAGACATCAACTGCCACTATTCTTTCATTGCTGTTGGGTAACTGTTATACGTTATTATCAGGTTTTAAATGTGTAATAACCTATGTTTGTCTAAAACGATAATGATTCACAATGTACAATCTGTGCATCATGGTACCCCGACGGCGGGTCTTGCCAACCTAGGCTTGATTCCGTCACGAATCCCGGGTTCGTCAGAGAGAATTCTTTAACCACTTAGCTACCTTACTTCATTTAATGCCGAGAAGCTTAAAGTGATATTAACATATGTTAAGGAAGGCTGCCGAACGGTGTGAATCCACTTAATATGCATCTTCCCGAGGCAAGAGAGTTAACTGACTTTAAAAGTCCAGTTTGGACTTTTATAGTCTGTTAACTCTCTTGCCACGGGTGATGCTTCTTAGGTAACTAATAGTAGTTTTTTCACCTAGAATGGCCAACATCCCGTGCATGATCATCAGTGGTATGAACAAAAGCGCCGCCTATGAAATCGGGAAAAAAGTAGACCGGAAAAGTATGGGAGCCCAGTGGAACGCTGTCTTCATTGACGACTCATGGCGATTTGTGGACGCCTTCTGGGCTTCGGCATGCGTCGTCGGCCGGAAGTCAGGGGAATGGGCACTAGTAGACTCCGACGGCAAGGTTGATGACGAGGAGGAGGATGCAGCGGAAACTGAAGGGACCACGGAACATCGGATCAACGAGTTCTACTTCCTGCCCGATCCAGACAAACTGATCTGGACGCACTACCCGGATGAGAAGCAATGGCAGCTGTTGGCTAAGCCTGTCTCTGTGAAGGAGTTTGAGGACCATTTCTATGTCCGGGAGCGGTTCCATATCCTGGACATGAAGACGTCGTCGACCAGTCAGATGAAGTGTACAATCTCAACGAAAGATGGCGAAATCAATATCCCTTTCCAACTCCCGCAAGAGCAGAGTGAACACTTCCGGTTTAAATATATGTTGTACAAGTCTCGAACTCAGATGGAAACGGAGAGCAAAATAGACGCTTTCCTTGACAGATTCGTGTTCTTTGAACACGGTAAAGACTTAGTAGATTTTTCTTTAAGATTTCCAGTGAAGGGGAGGTTTAAAATGGACGTTTACGGATTGGACGTCCGAGAAAGTGACATATTTGACCTTGTGTGTACGTACTTGATACAGTGTCCCACAGAAAAGAAGAACTGTCTCCCCCTCCCTGACTGCCCGCCGTTAGGATGGGGTCCCGTGGGGATCACAAAGAAAGCGGGTCTGTCCCCGAGCACCCACGACAGGGCTCTGATCGAGACGAAAGACGGAAAGGTGACGGTGAGGTTTAAGACAGACCAGAAGATTAAGGTACAGCTGTCTCAGAACCTGAAACATGCTGCCATCGATGACGCCACCCTCAGCAAGTATGCCTTGACCCACCAAGAGGACGGTGAGGCTGTAGTTAGTCTCAGGCTGCCCCAGAAGGGAGAATACGCCCTCAAGCTGTACGCCCAGGGTGAAGGAAAACCAGGAGAGGCTCCTAATGTTTGTAACTATCTTATCAGATGTACGGGGGTTGACGGAGGTGGACAACCATTCCCTAACTTTGCAGAAGGATTTCTAGGGAAATCGCCTATGGCTGATAAACTTGGCGTAAAGGCCTTATCCCACACTGGTGCTCAAATTGACGCTAAAGATGGGAAGGTTTCAGTTAAGTTTAATGCTAGGAATGATGTGGAGATGATATGTGAAGTGCATTCTAATGATCCAAAGGCACTGAAGAAGACAGCAGTAGCTACGAGGAATGAGAACGGGGAATGGACTTTTGATGTAGATATGCCCAAGGCCGGGGAGTATTCTCTGAACGTGTTTGCCAGACAGAAAGGCAACCCCAACCGGATATACAACGTCCACAGCTACTTGGTAGAATCAACAGGGAAACCTGGCTACAATGACGAAAAAATAGATGACGAGATTGACGGTGCCGACCTCGTCATCCCAACTGAGACAGTCGAGACGTCCGAAGACGTTGTTGTGATCCCGGTCCCCCCGGGCTGTAAGAGGGCAGTTGCGGCCGTGCACAGGCGTAATGCCAATGACCCCCCGAGCAGTGACCAGATTGAGTTCATTTCCCAGGACGATATGAACCTCGTGAAGGTCGAGTTGAAGGAATACGGCGAGTACATGCTCAACCTCTACGACATCGACGAGAACGGCGTGGTCAAGAACGTGGCCCGGTACCAGGTGAACCGGAAGCGACCTGGTGACCTCTACAACACCAACCTGAAGATGATCATGGAGACGATGAATGAGGAAGGCGGAAATACCTCCAATGGCCGAGCTCCGTCTCTCTCGCCTGAGGACACTGAGGAGGACAAGCAGAAGAGGACTGAAGGTAGGTGTCGTATCAGTTTAACCATTTTAATGTAAAAGTGTAAAACACGAACAATTTGAGGCAAATGCGGAAATAACACAAATAGATGGCGCTCCGACAGCACCACAGAGTGAAACAAGAACCAGTCTATTACTAGCAATTCAATAATTATATTAAATATTTTTCATTTGTCTCAAGACTAGATGGTCTGAATTAACGATGCATTTGTATTTGGAGATTTTATGCATTGGACAAATACTTAGATTATCACAGTGTTAATGGGAGGCACGGATGGCGCAGTCGTCTTGGGCTTTGCTGTGCAGAGTTGCGTCCCTTAGGCGTGCCAAACATTTATGATCGGGGTCGAGGTTCAGATTCACCCTGATTATGATTGTCCGCACTAATCCTGTCCCCGTGGATTTCACCAAAGTGGTACATGTATACGGCATGCATTACTTCGGGCCTTTCTCCCTTATCGAGCTGACACGCCATTATATAACTGCAATACTGTTCAAAACGGCGTTAAACAAAACTCACTCATATCGTACCACACCTCCATACAAAAGGTTAATCCACCTGCAGCAATGAGCCAATGACATTTAAATCGTATCGGCAACCGGCGTCCTTGATTAAACATACACAGGATAACGAAGGATGCCTGGCCGTTCATAGGAACAATCCACACCGTATGTATATGTGAGTGGGTGGGTAAGCTGGGTTTAACGCCGCTTTTAACAGTATTCCAGTTATATCACGGTGTGCCAGCTTAATGTGGGAGGAAAGCCCGAAGTCATGCAGGTCTCAGACGTTTACCAAATCGGTGAAACCCTCGGGCACGGGTATGGTGCTGACAAACCTAGAAACATAATCGGGGCGAACCTGGATTCGAACCAACAAGCATAGGGTTCCTTGCGTGCCCAAGGGACGCAACTCTGCACAGCGAATCGCTGCGCCTTAGACGACTGGGCCATCCGTGACCCCTATCTATATGTAACCATGTAATGCTTGTTAGTCTTTCATATGGTGAGACAGAAGGATTAAGCAGGCAATGTCATACTTTGCCCTTTTTTAATTAATTGTATTCCATACGATTTTTATACAAGGTGGCAAACGACCAGGTGTTCAAAAGGGGACAGCTCGCAAACCGAATCAAGGTAGCGCATGGCTGGATATTAACACGACCATGCATGGAAACTGTTGTAGACAGTAGTCACAGTGTCGCTTACATGTTACAGTAGAGGTGCCCATCACACCTTACCGTTTCAGCCCATTTCACATAGATGAAGACTGCTTGTCGCCTAACATTTTTATGTATCGTAACATTACCTTTAACACTTTACCAGGGCTTGCCGCCTTTCACCCATAGAACATAGAATAGCTTTGACTTGTTACAGACTGCTGAAGTATGTAACTCACACCTTTTACTATCTTTTATTAGGTAGAGTATTTTTAAACTTTTGTGTTTTGCTCTTCCCTTAAACGGGTCATTTTACAATTTTACCGGCTGTTATCAACGTGTATGATTTAGAAGCACAGAGCTAGTTTTTTTCTCATTACAGGGTCTCAAACAAGCATATTTAACACCTCTGTTTATCAAGATTTGATGTGGCCGATTTGTATTGGCTGTCTGTGATTGATTTCGAAAGCACGTGTCGATTGTACAAACGTTTTGTTTTGTTTGTTTGTGTGTTTGTTGTTGTTTAACGCCGCACTCAACAATATTCAAGCATGGCGGTCTGTACAAAAACGGGTCTGGACCACAGAATCCAGTGATTGACATTATGAGCATCGATACCTTTCTTGCATGTTACCATGGTGACGTAGTAAAGCGTGTCTCACCTCGTCCAAAGGTGTTCGAATCGTTTCCAAACATGAAAATCGTTTGTTTTCGGTGATGGAATCTGAAAGGTAAAGTGACGCAACACTGCGCAGCGGCTGCAGGGCCTTTAGACCACTGAGTCTCCCGTGTTCCCCTTGCCTAAAGAAAAGACAACACCCGTCAACAACAAAAGAATTACTCGGGCCTCTGTGTCCTCGAGCAATCTCCACAGAGGGAATGTTACTGGTAGTGCGAATCGATAGTAGCTATATTGCATGTGTGAGTGAGTTTTTACGCCCCTTTAAGCAATATTCCAGCATTATCGCGGCAGGGGGATACCAGACATGGGCTTCACACATTGTACTCAAGTGGGAAATCGAACCCGGGTCCTCGGCGTGACGAGCGAACGCTTTAACCACTAGGCTACCCGACCACCCCTACAATGCATGAATAACTTTAGTCCCAGCTCGTAGATGGTCAGCTCCTAACCAATAGCTGCATACTCTAAGCCATTTGTAGAAACTAACCGAGAAGATGACAGGGTAGATCTATGCATGTTTAACAGTAAAATGGTATTCAGATAAAGGTATTGAGAACTCTCATTCGTCTTACGAAGATATGGAGTATATGTAGTTAGATGATATTTATCAACTCCAGGAATACATGTGACACAGAAAATAAGGTGTATATTTTCTCGTACTAAAAAAAATAAATGCATGAATTATGAATGAAGAATTCAACGAAACTGATATTGGTGAAGCCACATTTTTTTAAGGTGAGCAATCGTTGTAAATATTTGAGAAGTGGTCGTGATCTGTAGTTCATTGGTAATGAATGTAGTTAGCCTGTGTACTCCCACCTAATGCCCCACCTCATGCCCCACCTCATGCCCAACCTCATGCCCCACCGCATGCCCCACCTCATGCCCCACCTCATGCCCCAACTAATGCCCCACCTCATGCCCCAACTAATGCCCCAACTAATGCCCCACCTCATGCCCCACCTCATGCCTAACCGCATGCCCCACCTCATGCCTCACCGCATGCCCCACCTCATGCCCCACCGCATGCCCCACCTCATGCCCCACCTCATGCCCCAACTAATGCCCCACCTCATGCCCCACCTCATGCCCCACCCCATGCCCCAACTAATGCCCCACCTCATGCCCCACCTAATGCCCCACCGCATGTCCGACCTAATGCCCCACCTAATACCCTACCTCATGCCCCACTTAATGCCCCACCGCATGCCCCACCTCATGCCATCTCTTTCTGTGACAGAGGAGAAGAAGCGACACGCCATGAAACAGCTGCAGCGGGCGATGGACCTGAAGGACGAGAGACAGCTGGAGGCAGCCATAGCAACCTACATGGACTGCAATCCCGCTCAGGGAGATGAGCTTCTGGCGAAGGCCAGGAGACTCCTGGAGGTCCTCAAGATCAGGGGAGGTCAGTATGTTAGACAGCGGCAACAAACTGGTGATAGGAGCGTTGTCCAGGTCTGAAGGTGAAATGAAAGTCTGCTTTGTATGATGAAATATCAAAGTGGTTTAAGACATGTGGGTTTACATTTTATTGCGCCCTTGAACAGGTCCAATCTGGAAATTGGCGCCATATAAATGTTTTTTTATTTCATTAAACAGAGGTACGACAGAAAAGATTTTACTGGCATTCTAATAGCATTGAACGTTTCTTCAATAAATTAGTATGTATTTATACAACTTACACTTCACGTACCCAGTAAGTGAATTATTTGAAAAACAGCTTAAAGTCTGATTTTTAAAACCATTAAAAGCATTGTTGATGTATTTAAAAAAGAATCAATGTAAAAAGGTACATCCACTTTCAACCCCTGATTCACACCTGGATTGATTTCCCTCAACAGAACTAATGGACGCATCCCAGAAACGCGACCTACCATCGTTAGATCGCGCCATCAAACGAGCCAAGGAGATGAACTCAGACCACATGCTTGACCTCCAGATCGCGATGGCGTCAAGGCTGCAGGAGCATCTCCAGAAGATTGAGAAGCTGCGTCACGCCGTGCTCAACATGCAGCAGACGACGGTGTCCGAGCTCCGCAACTACTCCAACCCACCAGATGGCGTCCATCAGACTCTCATGGCGACATTCCTGCTCCTCGGCCACAGCATGAAGAACCTTAAGGTGGGCAGTCATACCTGAGAGGGAGTGAGTAGGTTGAGATTTAATGCAGTTTGAAAAGTATTTCAGTCACAACAAGGTGTGGCGTGTGTCATCAGCTGTGTACTTGGCTGTAAATGTGGAATGGTACCATGTGGTATACCTATGTTACACGTGCAGGTGTGGCGTATGCCATCACTTATCTCGATGCCTATGTTACACGTGCAGGTGTGGCGTATGCTATCATTTGTCTACATGCCTATGTTACACGTGCAGGTGTGGCGTATGCCATCATTTGCCTACATACCTATGTTACACGTGCAGGTGTGGCATATGCCATCATTTGTCTACATGCCTATGTTACACGTGCAGGTGTGGCGTATGCCATCATTTTTCTACATACCAATGTTACACGTGCAGGTGTGGCGTATGCTATCATTTGTCTACATGCCTATGTTACACGTGCAGGTGTGGCATATGCCATCATTTGTCTACATGCCTATGTTACACGTGCAGGTGTGGCGTATGCCATCATTTGTCTACATACCTATGTTACACGTGCAGGTGTGGCATATGCCATCATTTGTCTACATGCCTATGTTACACGTGCAGGTGTGGCGTATGCCATCATTTGTCTACATACCAATGTTACACGTGCAGATGTGACATATGCCATCACTTGTCTACATACCTATGTTACACGTGCAGGTGTGACATATGCCATCACTTGTCTACATACCTATGTTACACGTGCAGGTGTGACATATGCCATCATTTGTCTACATGTCTATGTTACACGTGCAGGTGTGGCGTATGCCATCATTTGTCTACATGTCTATGTTACACGTGCAGGTGTGGCGTAACGTCCAGGCCTTGATGGGGAAGACTGGGAAGGAGTCGATGATGAGGAAAGTATCCAACTTCAAGCCAAAGGACATCCCCCTGTCTGTATCCCGCTCAGCTAAGAAGGTGCTTGATCCTATCTCCAAGGAACACATCAGGGACGTCAGCGCTGGAGCCGCAACCTTCTATGTCTGGGTAAGAAGGGATGAGGAGACAGGACCTTGGGATGCGGGATGCATGTGCGGGCCTCTATGTGTTTGTATGATGGTTTCGTGTGTGTGCGTGCGTGCGTGTGTGTGTCTGTGTGCGTGCGTGCGTGTGTGTGTGTGTGTGTGTGCGTGCGTGCGTGCGTGCGTGTGTATGTAACGGTGTGTTTGTGTATTTGCAGTATTGTGTATGTGTGTGATGATAATGTGTTTATGTGCGTGTGTGCGTGATGGTGTTGTGACTGTGTGCTTGTGTATGTTCGTGCATGTGTTTATGTGTGTGAGGGGGTTGTCTGTTTGTTAATCCAGGTCAACCTTGAACTATATGATGGACGTAGGGATCCTTAATCCTTTAATGATTAATTGATGCCAAAATACTCATCGAACTCCACAAAGTAACCTTTACATAATAGCGAAAGCACTTCTGTGTTAGTGAACGGTAGTCAGGACAGTCGTAGTGTCTGTTTTCTTTTATTTGTAATTCTTAATAATATTATTCAATTGTGCTTGCAGTCGAGGGGTATGATTGAAGAAGTAGAGTCGTATGGAGGCGCTGAAGCTAACGCCGCCCAGAACAAGCTTCAGTACAAGGAATAGGAAGAAAAGGAATGACCAGATGATGAGCCTAAACAGTGAGAGAGGTCATCATATCCCAGCCCTAGAGGTTGATGCGTTTTTTGACGATGTTGAAATTGACAAATTACCATAGACCATATATTCGTGAAGACATTAATATACCAAATATGTTGTATTTTGTTACAAAATCTTCATTGGTAACTTCAAACCAGTTTCGAAGCTGCACAATGATGTTTTGTCGTGGTTATCTGTAGTTTTGATACGCAATCAAGTCAAAATAACAGTTTATAAAACGAAATTATAAGATCGCGTTTCGTATTTTTGTACACGAGGTCATGGGGCCTTCCTGACAAAATTCAACCAAGTTTTTATACCGATCAGCATAACTGCGCGTGCCAACCATCCTTGTACGCGGATATCACCCCCCCCCCCCCCCCCCCCCCCCCCAACACACACACACACACACCCCACACACCCCACCCTCCAGCCCCCAGACATGACCCCTTCGACATTCCCAGTCCCATACCATTGTTGAAGTATATAGTCAGTGTCCTGAAAACGTGTATGTCATAGATAGTGAGTTGGCCTTGTTTTGACACCAGTTACATCATCCATCATTCTGCTCCAAATCTCAATAATAAAGTGCCTGTGTCTCGATCAAGATCATCCTAACACGAAAAGTCGTTTTTTGTATATCAAAGTGTCTATAGCGTCAACTTCATACGCATCCCCTATATACCACCATGCATATTTATCACAAACATACTGGTATCTGAATAAACGGCTGGGATTAGAAAATATAAGTCCGCCAATAGTACTTGTATGGCTACCATTAACATCCTGTCCACAAATCTATGGCATGGTTGTAATTGACTTCTGTTTAACGAAGTCTTATTCTAATTTAATTACTTTCTTCTCTCGTTACTTCTGTCACAAGAGCTGAACCTTCAACCCATGCACTGTCGTGTCCTCGTGAGGCTTTCTGGTATCAGTTATTGTCCGATGCAGCCGTGAATCTCACTTTGGCCAATTCCGGGTGATTAGCGCTTGTATATTATAGCTGTCTACAGGATCGCCTGTATTCTAGGGAAGAATCATACGTACAGAGGACTTGGCGCACGAATGACATTGGCGCCCATTTCATTCACTGATTAGTCTTATAGACGGTTACCCAGTTGGGGTCGACTCTTGGTTGTGCAGAAAATATCCGTCTCTTTTGGTTCGTTTCCCAGATGCTCCTATAATTTTGGCGGATTTTCATCCAACAGTTTTCCGTCATATAACGGTCATTGCGTTCCAAACGGCGCTAAACCAACTCACACGTTGTCTTAGCGGAGACGGTGTATGTTCACACTCGCTTCCTCATGCCTTCTCTCGACATTGAGGGGGCACGGGTGGCCCAGTCGTCTACGGCGCCGCTATTCGCTGTGCAGAGTTGCGTCCCTTGGCTAGCCAGAAACCTATGATTGTGGGTTCGAATCCCGGTTCGCCCCGAATATGTTTCTAGGTTTGTCAGCACCATACCCGTGCTCGTGGGTTTCACCGAAGTGGTAAACGTCTGAGATCTGCATCACTTCGGGCTTTCCTCCAACATCAAGCTGACACACCGTGTTATAACTGGAATACTGTTAAAAGCGGTATTAAACCCTACTCACTCACTCACTCACTCTCTCGACATTGCCCCTCCTTAGGTATGGGTTTACCACCACGTGACCCCCCATCAGTACCCTAGTGGAGCAAGGTGGTAGACGATTCTGTCATCCTTATTGTAATTGCATACCGCCTGACCAACGTTTGTCCCTTGTAACGCCGCCGTCCATATTATGTTGCGTGTTTCTCATCTCCATCTAGCTTCGGCGGGAGGGCTGAAGAAAATATGAAAAAATAGAAATTGAACAAAACAACGTTAGGCTGAGAACGAAACTGTCAAGTTGTCTGTTTGTAAAAGGTTCATTATCTGGTTGTGGCTGTGCTAAAATCGAAGTGCAGAGGTTGCTGTATCGGGGTGAGAGCTTTAAAGACGGAAAAGGCACATGACTTAAAAGGGTGGGAAAAGGTAGACAAACATTCAGTCCCTGAAATAAAGTTATCTTTTTAAAATATATTCTTGTACAACATATACATATATATGATACAAAATAAAATCCAAATTGAGCCCAGGGCGGGCTGTAGACGAGAAACGTGCAAAAATACCGACGGCCTAATCTGGGTACATCCTATTCAGGTATGTTAGCTGTGTACTTATACTGTTGTCAGGTAATAGTTGTGACAGGTAGATTACGTGATTCCGTCCTTTTTGTTGACCATTGTGTTTATAACTAAATATTGTTGTTTATATTTTGATGTCTGTGATTGTTCTTCATGTGGTTGTGTATCATAAGCTTTGAGAACATGTATGTGTGTAACGTCAGGGATACCTGTATGACGAATGTTGTACAGAGGAAATACCGCCTCACGCTAACGCTTGACTGGTCCCCTGTCCTGCCCTGTTTCTTCGCCTCAGCGAGCGCAACAGAGGACGGGGACCAGTCTAATGCAAACGCCTTCGCAGCGCCGCCAAGTAGCGCTCGTGCCTCGTTATTGAGAGGTACGAGTGGGGAGTGCGCCACTGTGGAGATGCTTACGTCTCAGGTTGACAGAGTTGTGTGACTTGGCCGTAGAGAGTATAGCAAACTCTTCCTTTACCAGAGTAGATCTATATTGTCGGACCAAACGTGTTGTTTCTGTTGTCCCAGAATTAAGAGATGCGATGCCGGTATTGTACCTGTGTAATAAGTACTGGTATGTGAATAGTAATCTGAATTTATTGTACATCGGATACAGGTTAGATATTCTTCATAATTCTTCGAAATTCTAGTTCCAGTATTAGACAAACGTTTCCCATGTACAGTAGTTGTGGTTTTGGTTATACTTCTGAAATTATACAATCTCATTAAAATCAGATTTTAGTTTTCGCTACCGCTAAACAAAGATCTGAGGACATCCCATTACGGGTCACGTCAGAACGACCTTTCGCGAACTTTGACCGATCAATGAAATGACTGTCAAGAAATCGACATTGGCCAATCAGAAGGCAACTTTCTCGAGCTTTACGACACTAGTTTCAAACTGGCGACTACGCTTCGAAAAATATTTTGACGTATTCTCGATTAAACATTTTAAAACTGATAAGAAGAACATTCTAGAATGGCTTATAGATGGCATAGATTGTAAGGATATAATCATAAAACCTGTAACTGTCGTTCGGAATACCCCGTGTTAAATATATCGTGGTTGAATGATTAGAAAACACATTCCGACTGTCACTTTCATGATCTAGTAAGCGACGCTGTGATTGGTTTGATGAAAGATCGTTCTGACGTGACCCCTAATGGGATGTCCTCAGATCTTTGTTTAGCGATAGCGAGAACTTAGATCTGATTTTAATGAGACTGGAAATTATACGTCCAGCAGTACATTCAGCATTAAAAGTACATGAATGATTCGTTTTGTTGATATTTACAAACTTCATTGCAGCATGTTAAATGTACATGTATATTTGCGAGACAATCTCATCATGCAGTTTTATTGTCACAATATCCTCAAAACATCGACTGAAAAGGTATTGCAGAATCACAATGTAAGTCTACGTGGTTATCTCCCTTAACACCTCGAACTCCATATACTGATGGTGATGTCGTGAGTTTATGAGTCTTCGACGAAGCCTAGGCCTGTCTGGCCTGTGAAATATACCTCTGTACTCTTCAGTGTACATCTATTTTTATAAAACTGCTTATCGTACGCGTCAAGCTGAATGTAGGATTGAATTATCTACAACGTGGTTACCACACCTATTTTTGAAACACCTATATTTACCATGAGCTGTTGCATTCGTCCCCACTCGCCCCTTTCCGTTGTCCCGGAATGTCACGAGTGGTCACGAATGACCCCTTATGACGTTTGTTCAGCCCGAATGTACAGTAATGAGAAAGGAATTAACCAGTTTGATGTAATGGCGTACCCTATCGTTCTTGCCATCGCTGGTGGTTGTGAAAATACAATGTATTTTAAATCATATCATATCATTGCGAATCATTTGAAGACAATATTTGTAAATGAAGGACTCTTTGAGAACTATATTGAAATATTGGTTTTGACGATTTAGACGTGTTCAAATGTCCCAACAATAGCATTACATATGCCTGTTTGTTTCAGTGTACATGCTTTCCATTGTTGATTTGTATAAAATATATTTATCAGAACATGTTGATTCTGTTTGGAATAAAGATCAAAGAATACCCTAACATATCATTACAGTTATTTTTTCGACAGAGCTATCTTTGATTATTGTTTAACGCAATAGTCCAGCTATGTGATGGCGGCTTGTCAATTATTCACTCTGGACCATTCTATCCAGTGCCTGATATTGTGATTAACGATCCACGCCTTCAGGGTCCGATAACACGTCCTAGACCAGTTTGGTCGCATGGTTTGCTGGGGAAAACGCTCTAACTCTAAGTGCCCATGGGGGTCGACAGATAGACATGTACGTTACACGTGAGTGTTGAACAGTAATTGAGTATTGTTTTACGCCGCTTTTAGCAATATTCCAGCAACATCACAGCGGGGAACACCAGAAAGGGCGTCAAACATTGTACCCATGTGGGGAATCGAACCCGGGTCTTCGTCGTGACGATCGAATGCTTTAACCACTAGGCTACCTCACCGCCCCGAGTGTTGAACAGTATTTCAATTATTGATAAATGTTGGAGGAAAGCCCAAAGTGAGTGGGGCCGTAGATGTGTAACACTTTGGTGACACCCATGAGCATGGATGGCGTGCTGACAGGCCAACAGTAATAATCAGGGGCCCGTTCCACAAAGCGATCTTAGTGTTACGACTGTCGTATGCCTGTGTTAAAGTATGGGAGTTACGAGCATCTTAGCGCTAAGATCGCTTAGTGGAACGGGGCCCAGGGCTAATTTGGGATTCCAACACTAGCACGTCGGATCCTGGCCCCGTTGTACAAAGCGATCTTAGCACTACGACGATCGTAACTCCCATACTTTAAAACAGACTTACGACAATCGTAGTGGCAAAATCTCTCCGTGGAACGAGGCCGGACCCCGACGCTGACACTAAGGACACAAATCTGAAAACAATACTTAGGCCTGAGGATTTTACAAAATGGACACTGGGTATGCTGGGTGTCCTGTCCTGGGCCCACATGCACAAAGCGATCTTAGAGCTACGACTATCTTATGTCCATAGTAGAATATGGGAGTTACGATTGTTGTAGCGCTAAGATCGCTTTGTGCAAGTGGACCCAGAACTGAGCTGCGGATCACCCAAAACCTGTTTGCTTCCTCCTTCTCAGAGAACGGCGGTCGGGTAGCCTAGTGGTTAAAGCGTTCGCTCGTCACGCCGAAGAC